GGAAGGAAGAAAGAGAGAGAGAGAGAGAGGGAGGAAGGAAGGAAAGAAAGAAGGAAGGAAAGGAAAGAAAGAAAGAAAGAAAGAAAGAAAGAAAGAAAGAAGAAAGAAAGAAAGAAAGGAAAAGAAGGAAGGAAGGAAGGAAGGAAGGAAGGAAGAAAGAAAGAAAGGAAGGAAGAAAGAAAGAAAGAAAGAAAGAAAGAAAGAAAGAAAGAAAGAAAGAAAGATGGAGAGAGGGAGGGAGAAAGGAAGAAAATAAACAAAAGGGACCTAATGAAACTTAAAAGCTTTTGCACAGAAAAGAAAACCATTGACCAAACAAAAAGACAATCTGCTGAACAGCTTATACAACTCAATATCAAAAAAGCAAAGAACCCTCAAAAATGGGAAGAAGAACTGAATAGACATTTTTCCAAATGACTTACAGATGGCCAGCCAGTACATGAAAAGATGCTCAATCTTGCTAATCATCAGAGAAATGCAAATCAAACCACAATGAGGTATCACCTCACACTTGTCAGAATGGCTATCATCAAAAAGACTGAAAATAACAAATGTTGATGAGGTTGTGGAGAAAATGAGACCCTCACACACTGTTGGTAAGATTGGAAATTGGTGCAGCCACTATGGGAAACAATATGGAGGTTCCTCAAAAAACTAAAAATAGAGCTACCCATGTGATCCAGCAAGTCTACTCCTGGGTATGTATCTGAAGAAAACAAAAACACTAATTTGAAAAGATACATGTATTCCTATGTTCACAGCAGCATTATTACAATAGCCAAGATAAAGAAGCAACTTAAGTGCCAATCAACAGATGAATGGATAAAGAAGATATGGTGTATATATACACAGTGGAATATTATTCATCCATAAAAAAGAATGAAAAACTGCCCTTTGCCAGAACATGGAGGAACCTACAGAATCCTATGCTTAGTAAAATAAGTCAGACAAAGACAAACACTCTGTTATCAATTACATGTAGAATCTAAAAAATAAAACAAACCAATGTATACAATAAAACAGAAACAGGTCCATGGACATAGAGAACAAAGTTGTGGTTACCAGTGGGAAGAGAAAGGGGGAGGGGTGAGATGGGGCAGGGGACTGATAGCCACAAACTACTATGTATAAAATAAACAACAAAGATACAGTATACAGCATAGGAAAATATAGTCATAGTTTGTAAACTTTGTTATGGAGTATTTAATAGTATATTATTAAATAGAGTATAAAACTATAGCAATATGGAACCACTATGTTGTAACCTGGAACTAATATAATATACTCAACTATATCTCAATACAAAAAAGAAAAAAAATTAAAAATTCATAGCCAAGAAAACAACAATATCGACAATCTCCTATCCTAGTAATTGGTTCTATTATTTATATATTTACATCTGGCATTTTCCCATCCCTTTCTTTCCTACCTGGAAAAGTAAACTGTCTTAAGAAATTTACATACATACATACATACATACATGCCAGATTTTCAGCTGTTTTTCTGTTTTGTTTTGTTTTAGTTTCATAGAACTTACATTTCCACCAGGGGAAAAGCAAAAATTATGCAATGAAAATAAACTATTTGGAATCATTATATATATATATATATATACATATAATTTCTCATAATTGTTTCACTTAATGTTACATCATAAACATTTCTCTCACAATTAAATATTTTTAAACAGTATCACTTTAATGTGGGAGGGATGAATTTGGAATTTGGGATCCAAACTATAATATATAAAATAGATGAACAACAAGGGTCTACTGTACAGCACAGGGAACTGTATTCAGTATCTTGTAATAAACTATAATGGAAAAGAATCTGAAAAACAATATATATTTACATATATATTTATAAGTGTATCTCTTTACTGTAGACCTGAAGCACTGAAAATCAACCGTACTTCAATAAAAAATAATAATAAATAAAAAATAGTGTGACTTTAACTGTGATATAATAGTCTAGCCTAGTGATCAGCA